CACACACACACACACACACACACACACACACACACACACACACACACGGGTTGATTTCACCACAGTATTTCCTGCTGACTCTAGCTCAAACTGCGTGTCTGTGTTCATTTGAACACGTCTTAATTTAACACAAGCGTTTTTCTGTACTCGAGTGCTCGTTTCTCCTCCAACCCACCAAACCCTCCCTTCACTGCAGCAGTCAGCTGGTTGAGCTCTGTGCATTGTGAAACATGCCTCAACACGTCATAGTGAAGTCACCTTGTTGACACCACACTTCCTCAGTGAGAGAGGTAACTGAATACCATAGGATGCAACATGATAATGTACGATGTAACAGAAGAGATAAGAACAGGAAATGAGAAGCCTTGCTATTGAAATGCAGGGTGTTTAGGCAGAATTGGATGTCGACGTAGTTCCCTGAAGATTGCTATTTCCTGTTCCCGAACTAAAGCCCAGTATTTCATAGTCTGTCACAATTAAACCTGCATTCATTGATTTGACTTGGCAGCACTGAAACAAGCTGTAACAACAGGTGAGTTGGTTGATGTGCTGGTAATATTCATCATCCTCAGAGGATGAATCTGAAAATGTATGGTGACACCTTTACACATATCAACCATGAAAACATACAAGTTCATGCTCCCCAGAGGATGTCAGACCATTTACATATAAGTATCCGACAAAACCTCACTCACCTTGATTGGCCCAGTGCTGAATTGGATCTTCCTATTTGGTGGCGCGGGTTCCTCTTCCTCAGGTAGACCCGCGATCTCGGAGCAGCTGGTCTCCGGCTGATATGGTTCCTCATCTTCCTCATCCTCCTCGTCGTCGTCGTCGTCTAGCTGGCTGCCCCCAGAGTCCTCCTCCCCATGCCCGCTGTACGCGCTGATATCCACCAGGTCGCCCTCCGAGTAATCCTCCTTCCTCGAGCCATCCTCATCATTATCCTCCTCCTCTTCCCTCTTCTCAGAGTCCCCTCCTCTCTCATCCTCCTCCGAGGAGGGAGAGGAACCTGGACGCTCTTTTTCACCATTTTCCAGCGAGGCATGGACGTCTGCCTGCACCAGCCGGGCTCCGGCCTCAGAACCCCCGGTGGAGCCGTCTTGCTCATCAGCCTGCGGCTCTTGCTCTTGGGCAGGCACCGTACTTGAGCCCCTGGCTTTAGTCGCTGTTGGCTGGGCCTCCGACTCTGGCTTGACGTTCGAAGAAGAGGAGGACGATGAGGAGTAGGAGGAATTGGGGAGCTGGTCTCCTGACTGTCCGAACCCTTCCTGCTCCTCGCTGGCCATAGCTTCTCCTATGCTCCTCTCTAGAGTCTCTTCTGGTTGTTCTGCTTCCTGGGTGCTCACACCGCTTGCTGCCATCTCCTCGCGGTCCTTCTTACCTGGAGGGAGCACCTTCCCCTAAGAGAGAGAGAATCATTTAATCAATTCATAGTTTTTCCTCCAACAAGCTTCCTTTACTTCTACCACAGTTTCTAATTTCTTGCATTTTTATTTTTTAAAGTTAAGCAGTCTTCTCACCTTCCTTCCGGTAGCCTCTGTTCTGGCTGGAGGTTTGGGCTTTGGTGCTAGGGCAGGGCCTGACCGACGTTGGGGGAGGTGGAGATTGTTTTGCGGTTCGGTCTTCTCGAACACGGCACTGAGCTGGCTCACGGTGGGGCTGACGGCGTCACCGGGCCCGACTGAAGCTGCGGCAGCGGTAAGAGTCGCGGGAGCCGGAAGAGGAGCGGGAGCCGGAGTAGGGACAGGAGCCGGAAGAGGAGCGGGAGCTGGGGGGTCGTCCAGACGGTCCAAAGCCTCAGTGGAGCCGTTAAAGCGAGCCACGACATCTAGACGGCTGTCCTGGAAGCCCGATGCCCGCTCTTTCTTCAGCAAGATCCGGTTAGTGGCGGCTTGCTTCTCCTGGAGGAGACAAGTCAGTCATGGTCTTGAACCAGAAGAAGAACGAACAAGTAAGTAACACGAATACCCTTCCTACCTGTTGAGTCCGCTGCTCGAAGATTCTCCTGGTCTCCTGGAGTTTGGAGAAGCCCCCACCCTCTCCGCCTGGTTTAGAGTCAAAGCGGTTGACCCTCTCTGAGACCGTGGCCCCCAGCTTGAGCAGGGCACTGTGGTCGACGTTCTCGTTAAGGCTGGACGCCCTCGGTAGGGACAGTTTCACCGCCTGCTCTACTACACCTGCCAGTGACAAGAAAGTTAATTGGGAAGGTTGTTAGGAGCAAAAAGGGAAAAGTAAGAGAGGTTTGTTTAAGAAAACATTCCAGTTTCACAGCACTTAGGTCGCATTGGATTTCAGGGTAGTGATATTGCTGTCTTCCCAGATCTCAGCAGTTACTTTGGTGAGCACAATTGTATCATAACTAATTGCCAAAAATACATGAAAGTGAAAGTTTGAAAGAAAGGATACAAACCAGATTTAAATTTGTATTGTTTCTTTTTTTTTTTTGCGTAAAATTGAGGTTTGACTCTTTCCTAAGTAAATAAAATAATTTTAATTTACATGATTTTGTCTCTCCCTGTCTTTATACTGACATTGAAAAAGCTCAAATGATAACTGAAAAATCTAATTATGGGTTAATTGAAGAGGTTTTAAACAACAAAAGCATACAATATTCTTCAGCTTTTTTTGGGTTTGACCTGATAAAAGCGTTCAGGTTAATTCATTATTACCTAAATAAAAGTGGTCCTCAGTGGGGCCATTATCTGCTGTCCATTCATTGCACAATGTTGTCTTTAAAATACTCCTAATAATAACTTTTCTTATCTGCTACTCTTTTGCTGAAATGACATTGAGAAATGTTGCAGAGTTAGTCAGCTGTAGCTAGCTAACTTTAGCTACTTAAGATAACGTTAGCTAGCTGCTGTCACCGGCTGACTGAGGCTAAAGCTAACAGGTCCTCACCAGTTGATGATCAATGTAGAAGACATGGAAGTAAACAAAGCAGCATTGTTCTTGTATTGAGGTGAGGAGCTGGTTAGTTCTGGTAGCATAAATGTAATGTTTGAAACGCATAACCTTGTAACTCCCAAAAAAACATATACATAGCTAATGATGCGCTAACTTTTAGCCTTAGAAGTGGTTACAAAGCAGGTAGCAAGCTAGTTAGCCAGACATGCTAACATTTGCTGCTTACATTCGAGCAGATACACGCCGTTTAATTAATTCCGAACCCGTTTTTTAAAAGGCTAACAGATACTAAATATTGTTCTTTTTACAGCCACTTACACACTGCTTCAACATGTGGAATAAACCAAAGCGGGACAGGCCTGCCTTGCCTCATAACAATAGCTAAGCTATTTAGACAATTGGATTGTCTGTTCAGTGTCAGGGGTTAATGAACGGTCAATTCCCTCCATAGCTCCACCCACCTCCAGCCTGACTACAGGTCTAATCAGCCATAGTAATTAAACACCTGTGTGGGTGAGTAGGGCCTTCAGATTAGAGTTATAATGTAAGTAGTGGGTAACAAAATAGTAACATATTAATGAAAATAACCATTCGTCATCATTGACTTCTCCTCACACTGTACATTCTAAAGGCTTTGACAAAAACATAGCAAGGGAGGTGCATTACCAATCATATCGGCTCCGTCCTCTTCGTCGCCAGGAGACTGCATCTGCATGAACATGTTCTTGATGCGGTGAACATTTGAGCCGTATTTCCGCCCCCTCCCGGTCGGGCGGGGCAGAGGAGCGGGTTTGGAGGCGGGGCCGCCGCCTCCGTTCGCGGCATTGTTGAGGTGGTCGGTGGCCTTCTTGAGCGCTGCCAGCCCTGCCTCGTAGGCGTTGCGGTGGGGCGAGGGACTCCGCAGGGTTGAGCTCCCGCTCCCCCCGCTGCTGCTGCTGCCAGCGGAGGTCCCGTTGCCCCCCGTGGCCGTCGGGGGTTCCGTCTTCATCATGTTTGGTAAATCAGATGCCCACCAGTGAACAGCAGGTCAGCAGGGACGAGGACTGCAGCATCCTAGAGCTGTTTGACATTCACCTCCTGAAGCACACGGAGAGACAGATCGATGGTATCTAATCAATAATAACAGAGTCCCAAGATGAGTAACCACAACCCAAAAGCATGGTCTCTGAACTCTTTCCTTAATCTGACGTGCAACCAACAAACAAAGTATTCTATTCTTGATGATATAAAACAAAAAAAATGAATAAAAACATTTTTCACTATGAAGATATTCAATCTATAATATAAAATATATAAAACAGAGAATCAGCAAATCCTCACATTAAAAAAAAATGGGCACTTTTGCTTGATGGAAACATTTTTAATCAATTTATTTTCCATCAATCGACTAATCAAATGAATTATTCACGTTAGAACATTATCCGCATTCAAAATGACATTCAACTTTGATATGACTGCGGTTTGTCTCTGAGCTGTTTTTGAACTATCACTTTTAAAACTGAAACTGAAAAGAGATTTGAACCAGGAACCTCGTGGTTCTCGGTCAGCGCCTCAAACCGGTGGGCCATCTAAAAGGGCCACTCCACCAATTTGACACACAAAGGTCAGTTTACTTGTCATGAAGAGTAGTACTTAGCAGTACATTTATAATATTAGGCCTGTCCTCCAAAGAAATTCTTAGCCGACTTACATGACAAAGAGCAAAAAATGACTTATTGACTAAAATAAATTGTAGTCGACTAAGACAAAAACAACGGATTAGTCGATTGAGAGGGGGTTTTGTGGCTCTGGAGTAACTTTCTCAACACCATCATCAGGGTTATCTTGGATTTTGGCTGGAGACTTCAATGGGAAACCTGCACTCCAGCCCGAACAAAAGATAAAGATCCCATTGTGTTGCACTCCAGGAAATGTAAAATGCCATATCTCTGCCTCTGCTGCTTCAATTTTGATCATTTTCATTCTGTAAGTGCCCCCAACTTGGAGCCAACTCGCCTAAATGCCCCTTTAAGTTTTTCATCAATAATCGAGCATCAGCGGAAAATGTGTTGCCAATGATGACATCGCTGTGTATTTCATAACACCCACATGGCGCTCCGGGAGCTGTCAAAATAATCCAATTAAAATGCTGACGCACTGTGACCTCGCCTCACGTGTCGCGTGTGTCTCCAATGCTGCCGCTCCGAACGCCAAGTCAGCGCATGAATACAGAGCCCCCCCCCCCCCCTCCGTGTGGTCCCTAGATATCAAGCTGTTTTTCTCATGATCGCGATCCTATTAACCAGCTGATTGCGTTTGCAGTCTGCGCTGTCAGATCCGCGCTACAGTACAGTGTGATGTTTTCGTCGGGCTTCATTTCTACTTCTGCATCTTAATTAAGACAACACCGGCAACACACACAAGTACTAAATTGGTTGTAAGCTATGACCATAAAATCTCAAAAACGAAATATGAACAGAGTACGGACATTAACTCACTGAGACCAAATATCGGCAGGTTGTAATGAAAACGTGACCACAAAGTTTATGACTGCAACAAATGTAATCTTTGTATGTAGAGGTCTCAAGAACATTTTTTATTCCATCATGATAATTTCATAATGCAATTTTGTGACTAGCTTACAACACTCAAGAAAGCAAACTCAGCAGAAAAAAAGGACTTTAAAGGAATAATTCAACATTTTGAGAAATAAGCTAATTCGCCTTTTTGCCATAGAGTTAGATGGGATACCACTCTGTCACTGTAACAGTACTGTAAATAGGAAGATACAGCCGGCAACTGGTTAGCTTAGCTTAACAAAAATGTGAATACAAGGAAACAGTTGGTCTGGTTCTGTACAAAGTAAGGGAAGAAGGTGAAGCAGATTTGAACCAGATTATATTTGGTTGACTGTATAAACGCGGTGTTTATGTCAACGCAAGTCGATTAACACGCCTATTTGGAAATTATCTCTGTTTAGTGTATTTCATCGATGTTTCTGACTGCAAGTAACAGCGTATTGGGTTTGTTTTTCAGGAGCGTACCTAGTAATTCGTGGGGCCAAGGCAAATGCCGTCTTGCTTTACTTTTCACCCTTTCTATGACTGGGAATGTTGGTATTGGCAGTGGTAGTAGAAGTACTCAAAACGTATTTTATGAAATCAAACTATTAATTGCGAAACAATTAATACGGTTCTCAAGAAAGCTGTAAGCTGCAACACCGCTGGCAAAAGTATTCGGCCCCTTTCTGAACAAGCTTGTTATAAACGGCCGCTGCACTAGTACTAATAACACAATGATCTAGCTGTTTGCCACTTTATGAAACGTAAATGGGTTTTGCAACTCAGGCGATCACTGAATCGAATGTGGACTGAGCCAGAGGCGCATCTCTTTTTTTTCTTCTTTCCAGCAGACTCAGACTGTGGGCTTTGTGTGAAGATTCACAGCTGAGGTGTGAGGTTTCTGATACGAACATTGTCACAATGATACAGCGTGTTCTTCTTTTGATTCAACGCTCCTCAATAAGTGTACAACAAACACAATCTGAAGTCGTCTGGTCGTGTACAGTCATGCCTTGTACTTTGTGTCTGAACAAGCCAAAATACTCGAGTCGAATTTTCCACCCCGGTTAGACCAAAGTGACCCAAATGAGGGCGCCCTGCAACAGCCTAGTGTGATGTCACCACTAATTGATGGTGTGTTGAGTTGTTCCTCATCAAGGCATAATAAAGAGTTTCGCCCCGAACAAGCCGGTACATAACAGTAAAAACTTTCCATTGGCTTTTCAGATCTGTGGTTGTTAGGATGAAACACCAGTGCGGCAGGGAGCACGTTTTGCACCATTTGACATATATGTAGGACTGCAAGTATTTTCCTCATTAATTAATCTGGCAATCATTTTCTCAATTAATTATTGATTCATCATTCAGTCTATAAAAGGGCAGAAAATAGTGAAAAAAGACTAAGAGTCCACAGCCATGCTGGCCGCTCTGTGAGGCTGTCCTTTAGCACAGCAGTGCTGTGAGCTAAATGTTAGCATGTGCTTAATGACAATGCTAATAATAGAACACATCAGTAGGTATAGTTTTTACCATATTCACCATCTTAGTTTAGTGTGTTAAACATGCTAATTAGCACAAAACAAAAAAAGTACAGCTGTGGCTAACATTAATTCTGCCGGTATTTGGTTTCAAAGAATTAAAACAAATGACGTAATGTATGTATTGCCTCCCCGCGGCTCTCTACAGGGCGACAGCTTAGCCGGTCGCTAACAGCTAACGGTGCTAACAGCACGAGCAATACCAACAACGGCAACAGTGCAGACAGAGCTACCGCGAGGACGGTGTTGGTCAGGCCCGCGTTATCTGCGGTAACCGTCATGTGAGTGCAGAGAGGCGGCCATTAGCTCGCTAACGGAGCGCAACAGAGAGACTTAGCTCACACGCACTACCATGCACGTGCGACCGGTCCAGATACGTAAACAGAGCACAGGGAAGCTCAGGTAACAACACAGAGTGAGAGAGAGTTCATTCTCTGCTCAGCTAGACATTACTCCACTATATCTTTACATAGACAATAGTTGTTTAATGCTATATTAATGCTCTGAATCCCGTCTAGAACCTAAAAGGCATCACCTAGTTATTGCAGTTCATCCTGAGGGGAACATGCACCAAATGTTGTGGCAATTCTTTTAACTCAAGGTAAGGGTCAAGGGATCAACAACGTTATTTTGTGAAAAAAAAATGTCATATGAGACAGAGCAAATTCTCACAATGTATAAGCTGAAACTATAAAATATTTCCCCTTTTTACTTGAAATCCATAATTTATCAAAATAGTTGACGATCAGTTTTCTGCCGTTCTACTTCACATTTCAGCTTCACTTTGAATGCCTCCTAAGAACTAATCTTAAGGGTTAGTGTTTAAAAAAATATGCGTTCACATGCATCCGAACTGAAAGTGGATTAAAAAACATGTTGGTTCATGTTGCCGTTTGTGTGGTAGCTTGCATCCTTTCCCATGGCAACGCTGTTGTTACAGATTGTTGGGTCAGACTTACATAAGATGAAATAAAGCGCTGTTGAAAACAATGCGTTCTGGGGAATGAAGGAAAGATCCGTTTATGTCCCTGCCTGGGCCCACACTGACTCCAGATCAAACAGCTGACCACGATGGGAATGAAACACACACACACACACACACACACACACACACACACACACACACACAGAGTAGGTCTTGTGACACTGTCTTGCCAAATAGTAGATTCTCACACACTGATCATGTGAACTTATAAGCGAGCAAATCCAATGTAAAGCGAAGAACCTTTTCAGACGCCTCTAGAAACACAAACACACACACACACACATACACACACACACACACACACACACACAGCTAATAGTAGTCCTGGCCTTTTTTTCCTGTCGTTGTTGAGACCAATCTGGTGTCTCCTGGTCTCATCGACAAATACGTATAACATAAATAAGCCCGAAATGCACAACACAGACAAACACATAATCTGTCTCCATCTGACCAGATTTCCTGCTACCCCTAATCCTTTTCGGTTCAGGGGTTTGCTTCCTGTCATTTGTTCTGGGTCCTCACTCCTTACTGCGCTTTGGTTGTCCTCTTTAGAAAGACAACGTCGAGCATCTTGGTGCCGTCAATAAGGACACCTGAGGACACGGTGTGGAGTTCACGTTTCTTTTTATAAAAACCTGAGTTTAGACAAGGCGTTTTACAATTTGCTTCTCCTTCACCCGTTCACACACACACACCATATGGCGGCGGAACTGCCACGCAAGGTTGCAAGTCGCTCCCTGACAATCGGGAACAACTCTTGGGTTTTGTTGTCTTGCACCAAGGACACTTTGACGTGCGGTCAGAAGTAGCCGGGGATTGAACCGCCAACCTTGCGATTAAAAGGACGAGCAAATGTAAATTAAAATGTAAAAAACAGACGTTGGTCCTTTAAAGGATGTTGTGCTCCTCCATTCTATTTTGTAACCAGATTCAAATGTAGTGCATCTACCGAGAAAGATACCTTCCTCCTCCTCCTACGAATGTTACACACACACTGTCTCAGTCGGGTCAACACAATCTAAAATAAAACCATCGCAGCCCATCCACTGCCTGCCTGCACCAATAATCCTCAGCATATGGAGGTAAATGACTATTGATTTGTAATCTATTGGTGGGAGAACAGCCCCTCCTTTCACTAAATACAAGCTCTACACACACACACACACACACACACACAGCCTAGCCGTGTGTTTGACGTGTGTAACATGTTTGGGGTGGTTCGTCTGGCAACAATGACCTTCATCACATACTGTAGGACTGGAGCTCTGTGCAGCACGTCCGTGGTCGTGTGTGTGCGCGCACGACGGCCAACGCGGTCCCGACTGAAACGGACACTCGCAGCCTTCTGCTGTAGATGCTTCTGCGCTGACATAAAAATGTGCTTGCCCCGTTCAGACACGAGTAATAATGAGTCCTTAAGTCTCCGTGCCCGCCACAACGTCTCCCGTTTATGTCCGTGTGCGTCACGCGCACTGTTCAACAGAAGCCACATTATAGCGACGACAATGACTCCCGTCTGTTCGCCCCACAATCCCTGCATCTGTCGAGGAGGAGACTCCCGGGCCTGGCCTGGTGCGACAACGGATTCTGGCAGACACACACACACACACACACACACACACACACACACAGTGCGTGCTGCTGCTGCTGGCTAGAGAGAGGCTTTGTTGGCATACTCACACGACATATGCTGCTAGCGCCGAACTTCCATCGAACAACGTAAAGTCTTCATTGTGCCGTTGCTTTCGTAGCACTAAATGTACCGTAACCAACTACATGTTACAGCTCCTGCGTAGTATTACTCCTCGTTAATTCGGCGTGTAGGTAATACAACGAGCAACGTTTACTTTACGGTTTACGGTTAAAAACTAGTATTTGTTGTTCGCGTGTCGTCCCACTACCCC